AGCAGAGGCCTCCTCATGAACGCGGCACATTTCGTGCCATTTTGACCAAAAGTGCTGCCCCTGAATGTCATCAAGTGGAAACACCAGACAAACCCCAACTGAGGACAGTCTGCCCAAGGACAGGCTGGTGCTCTATGGGAAGTTGAGGAATGGTCAAAACCAAAGGAGATGAACGAGGTGGGAAAGCGGAATGCCATACAACTGAGGCTTCCTGCTGGTACAAAGAGCATTTACTGAGACAGTCTTTGAGAGCAGAAACCAGCTGGGGAGGAGGTCACGGCACGGCCCTGGCACCTCCCAGCTGTGAGTGAGCACCCTGGTTGTGGGAAGGCTCACTGCAGCAGTCAGGTAAAGGGCATCATCGCCTGCCATCTACTCTAAAACACTTTGGGAGAGAAAACTGTGTGTGTGTGTGTGTGTGTGTGTGTGTGTGTGTGTGTGTGTGTGTGTGTGTGGTGAGCACCCTGGTTGTGGGAAGGCTCACTGCAGCAGTCAGGTAAAGGGCATCATCGCCTGCCATCTACTCTAAAACAGTTTGGGAGAGAAAACGTGTGTGTGTGTGTGTGTGTGTGTGTGTGTGTACATGAAAAGAGAATAAAGCAAAAACGATAAAATGTTTCCATCTGGGGGATCTGGAAAACCCTTTATACCATTTGTAACTTTACTATAAATTAGACTAAAATAATAAAGATCTGACAACTATTTCCTTTGTGAAATCTGGAAACAATGTGCACACGCTACATGCATAGGCCTGGGGCTCATCTCAGCTGGTCCGGACCCCCATCCACCTTACCTGCTGCAGTGCCGGGCAGGCTGGGGTAGGGGCTGGCAGTGGCTGGGGCCGGCTGGCTCATGTACACGCCGTGCATGGGGGAGCCCTCCACCGAGCCTGCTGGGCTGAAAGTGCCTGGGAAGCTGGTTGGGCCTGACGGCTGATAGAGCACGCCCCCGGCCGCGGGCATCGCCTGGAGCTGGGGAACAAACGAGACAGCTGTGAGAGCCGGTCCTCAGCCAGTGAGGCAAGCCCCTGGGCAGGGTAGGGCAGGACGGATGGAAGGCCTGCCTGGGCATAGGGCAGCGCAAAGGCAGGCATCTGGGCACGCATCTGGACGGTCTGCTTCTGCTGTTCCAGGCGCATCTGCCGCTCCTTCTCCTGCTCTTGCAGACGCTGGATGGCCATCTGCCTCTGCACCTCCAGGTACTCCTGTGGCAGGTGACAGGCAGCAGTCAGGACAGCTGGGACCTCCCCATGTTGTATGCCCAGGGGCTGGACAACCCCACAGCACCTGCTTCTTCTGCCGCATGATCTCGAGCTTCTGGGCCAGCTGGATCTGGCGCTGGCGCTCAGCTTCCTCAGCTGCCCTGCGCAACTTCTCCCGGTGCTCCTCACGCAATGCGCTCAAGGCCCCCCGGGCATCGCGGATCTGTGCCAGCTTGTCCTGCAGCCCCTCGTAGTACACTGTGGGCAGAAGACAGTGTCTCTGACCACTTCAGCCTAGTGCCAGGAAACCCTGGTGTGGGATGGACACACGGACAGCGCCTGGACCTCCCTGTGCTCAGCTGGTCTCAGGAGTCAGCAAAACCTCGCCTAGCCCTTGCCCAGAGGGTGCTGCTGGCACCGAGGCTCTGGCTGGGCTGGGCATGGCCCATCATTAGGGCCACGTCCTGTTGAACCCTCTTGCAGAACCCATGGCCTCAAGGAAGGCCTCATGTCCCAGGAGCAGCCAGGGCCACCACTGCCCACAGGAATGCAGGGGTGCCCGGGGCACCTACGCCTGCGCTCATCCAACTGGTTGAGCAGCTCGAGCAGCTGTGGGTGCATGCTGTTGATGGACTGGAAGAGCGAGAGCACGGCCGAGTCATTGGTGATGCTGCGCCCGCGCATGTGGTTGCTCTTCATGCGGTTGACGAAGGTGGTGACGGCATTCTGCAGGGCCTTCAGGAACTGCTCGTGACTCTCCTCGGACTCCCCGTTCTGGTACTGCTGCTGGAGACACGAGGTGGGGCCTGGCTGAGCATCGCAGCGCCCCCCATTCTGGGGACCATCCTCCCTGGGCAGGGACTGCTCTGCTGGGCCTCAGCAGCCCCACCTGTGAAAGAGCCAGGCATGTCCCAGGAGGCACCCAGGCTGTGCTGACTCTGGAGTGGATAATTGATCTGATCTTCACGTCAGCCCAGTGAGATGGGCACCATTAGCATCCCCATTTCACAAACAAGGAAACCAAGGCCCCCAGAGATTAGACTCTTATCCACCAATGGAGCACTAGTCAGGATGGAGCTGGCTCGAGGCCCTTCTGCCCTGGTGACACGGGGCCTGCCTCCCTCTCCAAGGCCCTGGTCTCTAACGCTGAGGGCTGACAAAGCCTAGAAGCCCCAAGACTCACCCAGCTGGTTCTGGGCTGCTCTAGAATACATGGGTCTGTGTTTGTCCACAAAGAGTGGCCTGACCCCTAGACCATAGCCCAGCCCAGGCAGGTTCTATCATGAGAGGCCACGATGCGTATAGCAGGGCCAGGGCCTGGGTGGACTTCCTCCCTCTGGCACAGCCCTCTCGTTAGGAAAGGCACCTGTGTCACGTGCCCAGTGCTCTGTATGCAGGGAGGCTGTGCTTTCTCCTGGCTGTGGAGGGAGCCACAGCTTACCTCACTAAAGAGGCCTCCGGACGGAGCTATGGGCTGAGAGTCTGTCTCCGGGAGGGGAGTCTGGAAGAGAACAGCGTGTGAGTGGGGTCTCCAGCCTGTCCCATATCCACCCCTCCCAAGGGACCACAGACCAGCAGCACTGAGCACGACCCCCTTACCTCCACCACGCTGGCTGGAGCAACATGCCCCTCCCCGGGCTGGGTGGTTGGCTCCGTTAGAGGTATGGGAGCCGATGGTGTGGGGCTCTTCCGGGCCTCCTCCTGCTTCTTCTCCCAGTAGTTCCGGTTCAGGTACCGAGCCAGCTGCACAGCAACAGGGGAGGTCACTTCTGAGGACCAGGGGCAGCAAGATGACCGCGCCACACGCTGGTGCCCTTACCTCAGGGTCAATGTCCTCAGCCAGAGGTGCTGACGAGTTCTGGGGAGATAAGGGGGGATCTGAGAGGATCACAGGAGCAGCAATGGAGCCCCCAAGCAGCCACTCAACAGGAACCCAGATGGTGCCACAGTGACGGTGGGTCCTGGAGGCTGGCCACAGCCTCAGCCTAAGCCTCAGCCTCCTGCCTGGGTCCCTGGCTCACACCACACACTGTCCTGCACTGTGTTGTATAAGTGAACATTCTTCCTTCTCTTTGAGATGACACGGTTCTAATATTCTAGGAAGGCCCATGACACCACCACATACCACGAGGCCCTCACATCAACAGCAGCTCGCAGGATGGGTGCTGGCTCCGGGGCCAGAGCATGGTCATCCCACCAGCCCTCATGCAGCCCTGATCATGGGGCCCAGGAAGGAAAGGGGCTTAACTGGGCACGCTGGTGGCCGGGCTATTCTCAGCCCCTGGGTGTGCCTATGGCCTGGCCACTCCACAGAATCCTACGGAGCTTGCCTGTGACTTTCTAAACCTTCTGCCCCTGACCCTGCCTCATGAAGCAGGGCACTGGTGGCCGGGCTATTCTCAGCCCCTGGGTGTGCCTATGGCCTGGCCACTCCACAGAACCCTACGGAGCTTGCCTGTGACTTTCTAAACCTTCTGCCCCTGACCCTGCCTCATGAAGCAGGCTGCACCTTCACCCCTATCTAAAGAGAAGGGCTGAAGGGGATCCCCTAGAAAATGAGTCTGTGAAAGAGATGGGGTCTTGCCAGCAGGGGACCTTTCTCAGCATCCCCATTCCCTACAGGGGTGGTCTGGACCAGGAAAGCAGAGCCGTGGGTGTCTGGAGCCACCAGGTGGCTCCCTGACACCTGCCCATGTGGTCAGGAGCTGTCCTCCCCGGGCATCCTGAGGTGAGGCATCCTCCCACTCGCCCTCCCATCCCGCGTGGGCAGTGGTCCAAGCCAGTCTGGCTGAGCCGGAGGGTGGGCTCACCACAGGTGAAGAGTACAGGCTGCTGGCGGGGGGCGCTGATGAGGCCACAGGTACAGGCTCTGCCTTGGGGTACACAGTGTACGTTGACTTCTGTCGCTGAAGCAGAACCGGGAAGGGAGTGCCATTCAGGGGAGCACGAGGCACTGGATGAACAGTGGAGCCTCCACACACTGTGGCCCCACCACAAACACCTGTGTGCACCCCCAGAACCCTGAAATTTCCCCTTCTCAAGGCCTGGTCCCCGCCCAGCTCACCAGCCTCTCCTTCTCCTCAGCCTCTGACTGCGACAGTGCCAGGGCCAGCTG